ATATATATATATATGTAAATATATATATTTATAATTATTTATACATGTTTATGTAGATAGTAGATACATATCTTATACTCATGAAAAATGTTTTACCTGAATTAACATATAAGTTTTGTAATCTTGAATATCAAGATTCCTTAAAAAACAGCAATATATTTATTTCATATGCTTATTAGAATTATGTTTAGACTTACATAATCGTATGCATAAATTGCATAGGATCCGTTCCGTTTCTCTATGCGCTGCATGCGCATGGAGAAAAAAAATTGAGCTAATGCGCGCATAGAATGCGCTGCGTTTCATGCGGTCCATGCGTGAAACGGAACGCACCCAATATTTCCATTTCGACACCGCTAGGATCTCTTTAAAATTTTAACCATATATAGATAAAATTATTTTAAACATAATCTAAATTTCAAAACAATCTGTAAAAACTTAATTTCTCGAAGAAATACTTTAATGAGCATTACATTTTCATTATTAAAAAATAAAAACATATCTAACATAAATAATGATTTTAAATAGATTACAATGTATTTTTCTGCATATAAAAATAGTTGTTTCATTTTACTTATATTAATTTTCTTATATTAATTTTTTATAAACAACATAATCAAGAAAAAAACGTACACGTTTCGACTTCAAGATCCTCTTCACAAACAACTAGGTTTTGTTTTCGTATTTTATATGTTAATAGTTTACATGCGAATGCACTATCATTATGTAATCTTGTTATTAATAGTTTAAGTAAATTTCTTTGAATTGAATTTAAACTTCACTTTGAATAAATGGTATATAAAATACACACGAATAACCAGTGTTGGCTCAAATTGGCATTTTATTTATTAATTTTTAGATTTTTCTTTAGAGCCTATTAATTATCTTGTTTATAAAAAATTGATATAAGAAACATAAAATAAAACAATTATTTTTATATGCAAAAAAATATATTGTAATTTATTTAAAATTATTATTTATAAATATATTTTTATTTTTTAATAATGAAAATGTATTATTCATTATTATTCATAATAATTTTAAATATATTACAATGTATTTTTCTAGTTAAATCTAGTTTTTGTACTGAAGAGGACCTTAACTGGAGAAACATATATGTTTTAATATTCACTTTGAATAAATGATATAAAATATACACGAATAATGTTTGATTCAAATTGGCATTTTATTTATTATTTTTTTAAGTTTGTATAAAATCACGCGCAAAATTATTTGCATTGAATGGAAAATGTTAATTGAATAGAATGTCATATAAAAAACTAATATATATCTATAGATAAGTATTAAAAATTGAAAATTATAAATTATTGAAAATTAAAATTATTACATATCGAGGTAATATATCCCATTTATATCAGTTATAAAGTTCATGCTATTATTATTCCACTACATTATAACCATTTGTAGGCAACTACAACGATATTTCATTCAGTCCTGAATCCGATGTCCTTTCTCTTTGGTATGCTCATCATGCTAATGTCCTACTTTCCGATTATTGACAGGCTATAAATGTCAACTTGTTTTAGTTGTTAGTCAGTATTATCTAGGGGCAGCGAAGTAAAATTTTTCAGTGTATGGCGTTTCCGAAGATAGATTGAGGGAAAGAAGAGAAGGGATAAATATATTTCTTCATACATATCTTTTCTACACGGCAAAAGTAGCCGTGTTATTTTTTTTAAATAAAATTATTAATGCTCCTCCATATTTAACTTATCGACTATTTCTCGATAAATGTACAATGTTACAATATGATTTACATTTTTGTTTTATTGTCGATCGAAGATAACTTTTTAAATAAGAAAATGATCTTTCATTCGAACAAGTTGATGTAGAAATCGTTAAAAGAATAAATTTTACGTATTCTGATACAAGATCTCTGATCTCGAGAGTGTCACGTAAAAATTGCATTACATCCTTCAAGCAATGCAGTGGCATTTTTCGTATGTTTGTAAATTACAATTTCTAACTTCTAAATTTCTTCCCGACCAAATATCATACAGACATGAAATTCAATGTATGGAATTCCATACATTGAATCATTCAGTATGGAGTACTCTATACCAATCATATTGGAATCATCGCTCATGATGTCATCTTTGCATAGTAATGAATCTTAACTTATCTTAACTTATCGATCATTTCTTTTTTGCCTTTTAAATTAAATAACGAGTTAACTTTAGAATTCAAAAATCAAAGAATTTCAATTAAATTTAAAAAGTAGTATACTTAATCTGACACTGACTGGTCAACAAGTCAAGAACTAGTTTTTGACTAAATAATTATTATTGTTTGCAATATAGCGTTTTATGTTCGTGGTGAGCTTTCTTACTTTCATTGTGAATTAAATTTATTAAAAAAATTTTTTCAAATTTCATCTCTGATATATTCTAAAAAATTTCTTCTCTTTTCTTTTTAACATTCATTTGACTTTAATTATGATGTATGATTTTGTATAGTGGAAGCATAAAAAAAAATTCTCTTGGCAATTTTTGGCGTGATTCAGGTTATGCTGGAGTTCCATGAGGCGTATCGCGTAACCACGTAATTAATCAGTAATTAATAAAGATGCCATCATATGTGGCGTAACTTGCGTAAACGTAACTTGCGCATTTTAGTATACTAAAAACTAAAATACATTACGCCATTCTGAAAGCCGACATTCACATAAAACGTATTTCGCGAAATTTAGAAATGCCGAATTAATATAATCAATTGCTGATTAGAATTTCTGTCATATATTCTGATAGAAATGCTAAATCACGATATTAAGAATAATAGGTAATTTCACTCATGTAAAATCATTGTGATTTTTCTGAAAAAACTCCGCAATTGAACAGCAGGTGGCGCGTATATATATATA